ACGATTTCGCGATGTTAATATCGGCTGACATTTATTCGTGATTAGGCCACTACCGAACATGAGATCGTTTTAAGGTACACATAGTTGCGCCCAATCTAATCAAAGTTAGGATTTCCAGCATTTCCGGAATCAAAGTGGTTTACATTCTTTTAAAAAGATCATATGTTTGATCCCCACCAAATTTGGCACGAAAATTCTCACGAAACATCAAGAACCGTCAATCAGCTCTGAACATCTTTCATTTGTAAGCTGGACTTTAAGCGCGATTCTCAGCGAGTTTGCAACTTGCAAAATGCCTTGATCGAGGCCAAAGGGTGCTTCACACTAGCTTTTAACTGCTTTTCAACAAACCTTTGAGCACTGAAAAGTTCTTTTTTTTTTAATCATAGTTTCTTTTTTGATTTTTCTGTTCTTTTCTCTGACTCGGTTTTATGATTATATTCTCTGCACAGTCTTCCTTCGGTTATGTACACAGCATAGTTTCCAGAAAGTCTAAACGTAACCGACCGTAACTCTGAATTAGTTCAAATTAACGAGTGAATGTTGGGAAGCAACACTCGTTGTCATCTTCATGCATGTATCTATTAACTTCTTTGCTCCAGAAACGAAACTTTGCGGTTATTCAAAGTATCTTCTTTGTAGTAATTACGTTTATTCGTGGTCAGGGCACTGAAGAATGGAGATTGACAAACAACATCATTTTTTTGCCAAACCTAATGGAAGTTATGACCCCGAGAAGTCTCAGCCGAAAATTTTCACGTATTGGACCAAAGGCCGCTTTAAATTAGCCAGACTTCGACTTTCTTTTTTTCAATAAGATTAAAGAAGTGAAGAATTCTTTTTTTTAAATCATGTTTCTTTTTCAAAGAGATCAAACCTAACTAAGGTTAAAATCTGTTCAAGGAGATATATTGCAGAAAGGACATAGGATCACAGGATATAAATCAGAAAATATAATGAATTGTCATAACAAGCATTCATTTCCTTTCATTCCAGTGACGAAACCTTAAAAAACACCTGCTTTCAAATTTCGGTAATTTTGCGCCGTCGACATACGGTGACAAGCGTTCATGCGTCAGACAACTCAAGATATCAGATTGGATTAAATCGCCCAGTTTAAGCTATGACCCTGGCAATATCAATCTCCTGAAGTCGCGGTAGTATTTGATCTTGAGATTGAATCGGTTTTTTTTACTTTAACTCGATTTGATATTATCTTATTTTACACCTATTTAGCTTGGCCTTCCTCCACGCTGTAGTTTCCAAAGAGGTCAAACTTTAACGACTTTAAAATCTGGATAACTTTTGTTTAACAAGCCTCAATCAAACTGAATCAATGAATTATTAAGTTATTATTATCACATATATCAATTAATTTCCTCTAAATAAGATACTTTGGGATTATTTAAAGTATTTGCCATCGCTTTTCTGTAATTTGGTGAAATTAATGAGATATGACAGTTGTGACCCCGAGCATTTCCTGACTCTCCGCCAAATTTGGTAAAAATTCTCAAAATGCTCACGAAACAGGAGTAAGTTAAAAACAGGACTTTGAGCACGACTTCTAATTAGTTCATATTAGCCTCCAACTATTTTTCATTAAAATTTGGAGAAGTGAAAAGTAATTTCTTCTCTTTACTTTTATGCTCTCTTACTCTGACTCCGTTTAATTATTCTCTTAGTCTTTCTTCGGCCGTAAACACAGCATAGTCTAAACTTAATTGACCTTAAATCTAAATGAGTTACTGTTTAAAGAGCACTATGGGGTAAAGAATACAGGGAAATACTAAATATCTGAAAGTGATTATCATGTTATCTATTAGATCGTTCATTTTGTTGTCTTTGTTCCAATGAGGAAACTTCGCGGTTATTCAAAACACATTACGTTAATTTGGCGGCTCTCTAATAGAGTGACATGTATCTATGGTCAGGCCACTGAAGAATGCAGATTGGTCAAAGCAACATTTCGTTTTGCCAAATCCAATCAAAATTATGACGGTACCCTGAGCAACAAGTTTCCTGAATCAAGATCGGTGGCGCCCAAATTTTAAGATAAAGAATCGTCGAGTATATCTGAAGAAATTCAATTTGTGAACTAAACTATCAGCAGATATTCAATAAGTTGGCTACCTGATAAGTTTCTTGTGTTCTTCGCTTTCGATTATCATCTAACTTCTTACCAACAAGATCAGAGAAGTGCAAAGTTCTTCTTTTTTAATCAAATTCTTTTTAAAGAGATCAAACTTAATAAGTTGAATGTTTTGAAATTATTTTTATCACAATCTTTCGTTTATTTTTACTCCAGTTATCAAAGTTCGTAACGCTCTTTTTTTATATCCGGTAATTTCGTAATATCGATATGGGATTAGAAGCATTCGCGCGTCAGGCAACTCAAGAAATCAGATTGGATCAATTCGTTTAGTTTAAGTTATGACTCTGGGCATATCAATATCCTAGAGTTTTCAATCTGTTCTTTAACTCTAACTGGATATGATCTTATCCTATTTTACACCGATGTACCCTAGCTAACATTTATCAAGCTCAAACTAACTTGATATCAAGATCCGAATAATTTCCTGTTTAACGAGCCTCGTGGGAGAGAGGAAATCAAAGGAGATCAATTAATTGAAAAATTGTTGTTATCTATAAGTTGGAGCTATTTAAACATCTGCTCTCCCTTTCCGGAAATTTTGGCGGTATCGATGAGGGTAACCGTTATTTGTGGTCAGGCCACCGCTGAATGCAAGATTAGTTAAACTATATTTAGTTGAGCCCAATGTAATGACAGTTATGACACCGAGCATTTCCTGAATCAAGGTGGGATAAGTTCTTTGGTGATCCCGCCAAATTCTGGCAGGGAAATTCTCACGAAACAAGAATTTTCCTTGAAGTACTTCTCTTTATCTTCATTTTGAAAACGGTGTTTAGGGCGTAATTCTCGGTGGGTTTGCCCTCTAAAAAGTCTCTTAATCAAAGTGAATGACCATTAAACTAAGTTTTTAAAGAATTCATAAGTGATAAGACTTAAAAGTTTTCCTTTTTTCTATGTTTTTCAAATTTTTTTCCTGACCTTCCACAACGATTTGCCTCAATGATCAGATGCCCCTTCGCATGTTTCTATCAGGCATGTTCATAAATCATAAGCCGTGTTCATCTTCTTTTTTAGTTTTATTCTTATAACTCCTTCCTCTATCTAGACCGTAAATGTCGATTGAATTGATAAAGGAAAAGTTCAAATATGATTATTTTATACATTTCAGAATGTCATTTTTTTCAATATGATCATATTTTGTGGGTAATCAAAATAGTACGTAGGTAAATGTTTAGCACGGTAATGACTTCAGACCTCTTTTAGGTGTTTTTCCTCACAGACTCTTGTAATATGGTAAAGAGGGAGTTCTGTTGCATTCACTGGACCGTCGAACTGTACAATAACAAACGGAACAGATTAAGATTTAAAAGAGGTCTGCAATTGAAGTAAATGGTTGCTATTTGGTCTCAATAATAATGATAATCGTATGTTGCCCTACGCTTGTGACAAGATAAAAGCCATCTTTCTTGATAATCATTTATTTGTCAGGTTCTGAAAGCAAAGAAAAAAGTGTGGTTTCAGTTAAGTATGATCATCAAAGAGAGAGAAGAGCTCCTATTGCTGTACCACTAACTAAGCAGGACGTCCTCACAGAAATCAATAAAAATTTCAAAAAGTTCTGCGGTGTTAACAGAGATAGTTGTCAGACTGGACCACAAGGTCCCCCTGGAATACCCGGCACACCAGGTCCATTGGGTCCTATCGGGCCTTCGGGTAAGAGTGGTGATCAAGGAGCCGGAGGTTCTAAGGGAGTAAAAGGCGACAAAGGCGATACAGGGTCCCCTGGACAACGTGGAGTTAAGGGGAGACGTTGGTTCCATGGGTTCTCCTGGCATCAAAGGATCCGTCGGCTCGAATGGGAACAAAGGCCATAGGGGATTAAGAGGCATGAATGGGCCAAAGGGGAATGCGTCACTCAACCGAACATTACCGTTTATCCACTTTCCCAGGCAGTCTTCCTCAACGAGAAAGTGATATTGTACTGCTGGGTTGAAGGTCGGACGCAATTGAAGATAACGTGGCAGAAGCTTGGTGGTTCTTTGCCTAATGGTGTTCAAACAGACAAACACATGCTTTTAATAAAAAATGTACAAAAGTCACATGTTGGGGATTACATGTGTACAGCTCTCTCTGGAGTTCTTAAAGCAATCAGCAGTTTGGAAATAAAAGGTAGAATCTTAAATTTTGTTAGCTCTCCAGATCAACTTTCAGTTATTTGAAAACTGACGAAGCATTGTCCAAAGCCTGAAGAAATATCCATATTCCTTCAATCAAAGCCTTGAATTAAATTCGTTCAGCTATGTCAAGCTTTCTTTGGATAAGAATTTCTAGAAATGACCAGCTTGTATCTGAAACATTCGTCAAGCCTATCTTTAGTATGACAATTAGATATCTTTTTTTCCTTTATAACCACCCAAATTTACCAAAAGGCCGCCAAAAAGTCTCTTAATCAAAGTGAATGACCATTAAACTAACTTTTTAAGGAATTCATGAGTGATAAGGCTAATGAATTGTCCTTTTTTTTGTGTGTTTTTTAAAGCTTTTTTTCTGATCTTCCACAATGGCTCGCCTTAATGGTCAGATGCTCCTTCGCACCTTTCTTTCAGGCATATTCATAAATTATAAGCTATATCAAGCTTTTTTTGGATAAGAATTTCTGGAAATCATTACCTCGTATCTAAAACATTCGTCAAGCCTAATTTTTATATGACAATCAGATATGTTTTTCCTCTAGAACCACCTAAATTTACCAAAAGGCCGCCAAAGCTGGTTATTCGCAATCGAGGAACAAATGTAAGCTTGTGCTGCAAGGTCAGAGGAAACCCTCGTCCAAAAGTTGAATGGTACCGGCCTGATAACCCGTCTGTCATGATCCCACTCCCTGGAATTTGGATGCCTTCAAATTAATATGGATAGAGAGAGCGCTCAAGGAACGGACTACATTTGTCGGGCTACAAACCGCTTTGGAATGGTGCAAGGAATGGCCTCAGTGGTCGCAAGATCGTTTGGTATTACTCTTTTAGTTTAATTTTTAATGGGAAGCGGAGAATAAAACAGTCTGGCATAAATATATTCGAGAAAAAGGAAACAAAATGCTAGATTTTTTATTAGCGAGCAAGCAGAACTTCAACGCTTTCATTAACTGTGAAATCAAAATCATACCATCGTTTCTCGTAATTAAACCTATGTCTAGGGATTGGGGAACGAAATTTATTATAATTGCAGGTCTGACTTTATTTCTCTTTTATGTTTAGTTGCGGGACAATCCTACATAATTGGAAGCAATGAAACTCACATCGCAGCCCTAAACCAATGGTTGCACTCTGTTGTAAAGAGTAGAACCTCTTCCTGGGCTTCGTGTTGGATAGCGACAAAACATGGTTGGAAGGGCTCTACATTTCACAATTTGTGTGACAACAAAGGGCCGACTTTGGTAATTGTCCGTGTTGGAGATTACATCTTTGGTGGATACGCTGGTGTATCATGGAGAAGACATCGTAAGTAAAGGATTTCGTGGTTTCTTTTAAGTTTCTTTTTTTCGTCAGTGAGTCAAACTATTGAAAGTAAGAATGTGAGTTTGAAGACCTAACGCAACATATACGGCAGCTGCTAATGCAGGCTAATGTAAGCCGCAATCGCTCTTCTGAAAATCAACCTACCCTGAGATGTTTGCCGAAAGTTTTGCTCTAGTTCTACAAGACTTAAGGAAAATTGCGGATTAAAGACAAGAGGTTTTCAGAACTATTTTCTCAAACATTTTATTGTTTGATGTTTAGATGGTGATGCTTTACTTGCTTGTAAAACTTGCTCCTCAGGATTGCCCGTCAGTAAGGGCAGGAGAGAAGCTAATGAGTCAAATATCTTCAATTTAATGACTTTAAAAAGCTCACTTGAACGGAAATGGCTAGGATAAACGAATTCTAAAGTGTATTCGAGGTGTTCTTTTCAGAAGAGTCCTTGTTTGTTGATTGGGTTGGGTGGAAAATTTGGGGGAACTAGCATTGGATCGCCGCACACTTAGCCAAAAGCATCAAGACTTCTCAAACTGTCTTTAACTGTTTTTTTGTTGATGTCTCAGTTCTGTAATATACTTTTAATTCCACTTAAATCAATTTCTTTCCTCTCCGTCTAACTATGGTTGCCTGACTCGTAACTGTGATAGATCTCTTCGAGTTCTCAGTGACTCATGCTACTGAATTATGAATTTTTCTGTTACTTCCGAATTCTGTCAACTCACTTTTGAACTCTGTCTCAGTTGCGCTGCTCAATTCTGCCTACTAAGTAAGTTTTAGAGGACATACTTATATATTCACTACTGATAAACATGGCCGGGCAAGCCAGCTGATTGACCATGAGAGATTAACCATTTGTTATTAGAGCACTAACCCACTTTGACATGAAACACAAATGAAAAACAGCGTGCTAAGAGTTTCTGATTAACCAAATCAACCTCTTACTACATAAACCGTCACGGTAATTTTCGAGTGGGTCCAAATCAAGATCAGCAGGCAAACTACTCTCGTACACTTATGGGAGTCAAACAAGACAGGTATAGTTCAGGAAACTCATCGCGATAGCTTAATCTCAAATAACTTCAGACTTCGAATTCAAATTTTAACCACATGCTGATTATAAACGAATGACTTAATCATTCTGAACTAAATAAATACTGCAGAACATGATGATGTTTTGTTTCTGCTGTCAAAAATATCCTGGCCCCAATCCTTCTCTTTTTAGAAGATTGTGACGATTAATAACACATTTCTAGCGCGCTGACAACACTGTATGAAACGCACGACAAGACACAAATTGAAATTTTAAGTGTTGGATTTCATCTGACGAAATAGCGCTTTATTATTCGATATCTCTTTGGTTTCATTTTTTGTTTTGGTTTTTTTTTCAGCATGCCCTGTTGGTTGAAAATGCATTTCTATTGGTATGTTCAAATTACTAAAATTGTTTTACAATAACTTTTTATTACTATTTTGCTCATCAGCTAAAATAAATTACTGTGGACGAGTGTACAGTCCAACCTCCTTCATGTTTTCATTGGTAAATAAGCCTGGCTGGGGGCCGACGAAACTGCCTCAACTCGGATATGACAGTCCTATTGGATTTTCCATGATGTCTTGTCATAATGATGGACCAATATTTGGTACAGGAAGCGATCTTACAATTTTAGACGACGCCCACAAGAGTAAAACATCCTATGCACACATCGGAATGTCCTACAGCGCACCTAAAGGTCAAAGTCCTGATTCCGACTTCACTAACACATTCATGGCAGGAAGTGAATATTTCTCACCTGATGAGGTTGAAGTCTTGTATGAAAGAATTGACTAAAGTAGGCGAATCGAAGTAACGATAACATTTAAGTTTTCTATGTTATTTTTGATCAAAATGGTTATTCTACCTCTATCATTAGCGAGATGAGAATCATCAACGAATGTTTATGTAATAGTACTGTCCTGTCCTATATCATCCAAATGTGATCATTTGTATAATTAGTAAAGAATTAATGAAACTCAAAAAGGCTTTCAGCGACACAAACTCGAGGCACAATGCTGATCAATACAGTACCTCGATCTCTTAATTTTGTATAAAATTTTGAAAACAAGTTGTAAATTCTGCGGTAATTTGTAAAGCTTATTTCGCACAAACTAAGTTTTCAAGTATTTTAGTATTACAATTGTAACGCAGCATGAGCGCAGCTAAGAGAATGTCCCCTCCCCTTTCTCCGATCCTTTGTAAGATAATAAGTGCATAGAATTTATCCGGCAGAATTCTTTTCCAGAGCTAGATCTCTGCTCCATTAGCCTGTTTGTCTCGGTGCATGAATTCCAGCCAGACGACACGCATGGGAAGGCTATAGTACAATCTACTTCGCATTTGGCGAGTGGAAATTTGTATCTGTGATTCTCCCTTCCCATCCCCTCCTTGTTACGCCCCTTTGGAACGAAAATTAAAGTATTTTTAAGTGAGCTTAAAGTAATGATAAAGAAAACAAAATTCGAATCGTATAACTCCTTGATTATTTTGTATCAATTCTAATATTTCATTTAGTAGACAAATTTAGGAATATCTAAACGCAAGTGTGAGACACAATATGGGGGGCAGTTATCATTTGGGAATTGTTCCTGTTACTGCCCCTTTTGTCACGAAATTCTTTTTTTTCCGCTGAGTGTATTTTTACTTTGTGTGACCACTATATAAATGAATAAAACCGTGGGAAAAAGGTTAAAGCCGGGAACAAATGTCTTATTGTAAGTCTCTTTGGGTAATCGAGGCGATTGCAAACTTTCTGCTTGAAAGTGTCACATAATCCGTTAAGTCTGGCAGAAATTATAGTTCGAGCGGGAAGGAAGGGGGAAGAAACAAAACGAAAGGCCCTCATTTTACTAGCAAGAGAACATATTCTTATTCCTGGCTCATTCATCAAAATCCAAACAAATACGAATATACATCCAGTTCCTCCTCTCAAACCAAGTGACTGGATCATACAAGTTGAACCAAGAAGCCCACAATAAAACATGAACTACTCATAATCTCGAGATCCGTAAACACAGCTCATGAATTTAAATGATTAATGGCTCCCTAAGCTTTCCTCTATTAGACACTCTGGTAGGAATGAAGTACTCCATACTGAAAAGCCAAAGGGAACGAACAAGCAACGGACGTCTGAATGTTTTTGAAGGTCGAGTTGATCACATTTAATCTGTCTGACTAAGAGATTATAAACTGTTCATTTTATTATCTAGAAAGGACAAATTTTTTCTACATCCTCTAAAAAAACATCAACAAGCCCGCTATCTGACATTGCCAGCGTACAGCTGTCGGACACAACAAACTACCGAACTTTGCTATTACGAGGTGGAAAGATCAACAGGATGCACAGTTTGAGGTACACTGGCAAAAACGTTTCCCGATTAAAGGAAAACGTGTCACTTCCCCCTAGGTGATAAGGGAAAAAAAACAACCGGTCACCAGGCGCTTACTACCCGAACATTTAAAGCGAGACATATTCACACTATAAACTCAGTTGATGAAACTATATTATCTTGTTTCCCTCCACCCCCCTTCCCTCCCCACAGACACAGCGCAACAGTTTCTTAAACCTCCTTATGCTAAGTACACGTTCGAGTTATTTCAAACTCTATTTTTGATGCTCTTCATCCGTCACAGTGTAACGTATTCAGATATTCTTTAAGTTAGGAATTAAGCGTAATTAACTATTCCCCCAAAGGAAAAACTCTAAAAATACCGCACAAGTTAGGTCGAGTTTCCTTCTCCAAACTGAAAGAGCAAACTGCCATTTCTTTTAGTTCAGTGCTATGATTTCTATCGAATTATGGATACCATTTCATATATCTGTCCTGGTTGTTCACTTTCTTTCGGGCATCGTGATTGGTTACTTAGGGGTTTTGACAGGTTTTATTGAGAATCACCGACTTGATCACAAAAAGGATGATAAGTTTGTTGTCCAATTCGCTAAACTCCGAGTACAGATAGACATTTAAGCAATACAACTCATTTCCCGGTTTTCATAACTTGATAAAGCCGCTTAGTATGTTGAAAGAATACTCTAAAAAGCTTGTAAATAACTCGCCCTACAGCTCGTGATTTTCAAGCTGTATACGTGTTCTCCCAGCATGCCCCGTGGCTATTGATGACACTATTTAACCCGGGAAAATGAGTTGTATTCCTTAATCTGTGTTTTTGACGACTGCGTCAGTGATATTCTGAACTAGAAGGGTACGCTGAACAGGTGCCGAAAGGGTAGTTTAACCTTAACTTGTACTACTGTGCCGGCTCAGTCCTCTCGAACGAAATGGCTGCGAACAAAAACAACCACACGAAATCTGGAGACAGGATGAATAGAATGTCCCTGGCGATCTCTATGATTTCGTTGGCCCTCGTTTCATTGATGTTTGTGAGATTCGAATTTGTAAACAAACATTCGAAAGCACTTAAAAACCGTATTCAGCGGATTGACGTTAACCTTAAGGAAAAGGTAGAGAGAGTTGTAGAAAAAAAGTTACAGTTTTATGAAACTGCACCGACAACGAGAATTAAGGAGAGGCCTGATGTTAACCTTGGTAAGTCATTGTTTACACATAGTATTGTTATGTAAGCTTTTAATAACAAACATTGCGTCATCCGGGTACGAAGTGATTTTTTCCAGTTTACGTCTCAATCCTATGAAGAGAACACTCGCTGCTTAGATATGATTCTGTTGTAGATGGCTTTGAAACAGAACAAAGCTTCAATATCACAATGACTGTATGTCATTTACAATATTTGTACGTCATATACCCTGGACCATATCTACAACATATTTTTTTAAGAGGTCAAACTCAAATAACATTAAAATAATGATTATCTTCTTTATAACATGCCTTATGAAACAAAATACCCATGGGAGAATCATCGGATAATTGTTTCAAAGTTATATTTAACTGTATTTATTACAATTTTTTCCCCTGAGAAGTACCTTAGGGGTCATTCAAAACACCTGCTTGCCAGTAACAGTAATTTCATAGTATTGATGTGCAGCGTCTTGTATTCGTGCGACAGGAAACTCAGCGGAAATCAGATTGTATCAAATGGCCGAGTTTTGACCCCAGCCATTGGAATTTCCTGAGTGACGGTGGTCTTTCATCTTTCACCTATAATCTGTTCCTTTACTCTAACTCGATTTAATTTGATTTGATTTTAACTTACCCCGATCTACCGTGGCTCAGATCCTCAGCTTATTTTTCGAAGAGGTCAAACTTAAATGACGTCGAAATCTGAATTACTTTTTGTTTAACGAGCTTAATAGGACAAAGGATTTCAAAATCAAACGAAATCAGACAAAAAATATTTTCAAGTCATAATTATTTACTCATTTATTAATATTAATAGTATTATCGTTAGTTTGTCTTGATGAAAAAACTTTAGGATTATCTTAAACCTCTGTCTTCACCTTACAGTTATTTTGCGATATTGACATGTATTCGTGTTCAGGCAATCGAAGAAAGGTATAAACTTTTTTTTTTCCAAGTCAACCAAAGTTATGACTCCGAGCATCGCGGTTTCTTCAATCAAGGCGTTTAAAATTCTTGAGGCTAATGTATTTGATCCCCGACAAATTCCGCCGCGAGAATCCTCAGGTAACAAGAATTATCAAATACCTCTGAACATCTTGACTTTGCCAAAAGCATTTTGAGAGAAAAGCTTAATGAGCTTGCTATCTGAAGTCTTAACTCAAAAGTTTCCTCTTCATCGAGAAAAAAAGACCGTATCAGATTAGTTTCCAACTATTTTCTTACAACATTGAGATAACTTCATTTTTTTTTTTCAACCAAGTTTTTTTTTCTTTTTTTTGCTTGTTGTTTTGTTCTCTCATGGACGATAAGACACCTCTCCCGCATAGCTTTATCATGGCTATCTTTCATGGGAATCAAACTTTACAGAAGTTAAAATCCAAAATATTTTATGCCTACGAACTTGATGGGACAAAGGAAATCAAAGACACCAAAGAGGATATGTTTTAAGATCATTTCTATTATCATTTATTCGTTGATTTTTGTTTCAGTCAAAAAAACCTTCGGGATATATTTATAACTTCTGCTTTCACACGATTAAGATTAATTACAGATATATTTCTTGTCTAATTCAATAAAAGACATGATACCGAGCATTTCCTGAATCAAGGAGGTATACATTCTTCATGACCAATGCGTGTTATTTCCGCCAAAATCTGGCAGGAAAATTCTCACGCAATTGACAATCAGTTCCGGACATCTTAAATTTGAAACGTTTCTCGTTTAAGACGAAAGGACACTTCAAACTAGCCTCCAACTATTTTTCAACAAATAATTGAAAATTAATAAATATTCTTTCCTTTAATTTATTTATTTTTGGTTTGTTTCTCGATGTAATGATCTTATATGCCTTTTGCACCGTTGTCTTAAGCTTATTGAAGTAAACAGTTTTGTCGGTAGGTCTCCAGGATAGCTCTTGTGATCGCGTTTCGTTCTGCACTTGTGAAATAATAAAAGCATCTTTCTTCACGATCATTTTTTAATCAGGTTTTGAAAGCAAAGAAGGAAGTAAGCTTTTAACAAAGCATGATCACCAAAGAGAGAGAAGGGCTTCTGCTGCTGGGGCAGTGACTTTGAATCAAGTCCGCTCACTAATCGACGATAATTTCAACAAGTCCTGCATTGCCAACGGCAGAATTTGCCAAGCAGGACCCCCGGGTCCTCCTGGAAATACCGGCCCTCCAGGCCCATCGGGTTCTATCGGGCCTTCAGGAGCGAGTGGTGCGCGTGGACCTGTCGGACTTCAGGGAATAAAAG